CCCCCCCATAGCTGAGCAAGAGGACAGCCCCCTGGAGGTCTGCTGTCTTCAGGGTTAGGATGGCAATTACTGAGCTGACAGATGCAGGGTGTGAAAAGAAGAGTTCTCACAATTATCTTCCAAATGGGGCTGAACACAATTAACTTAAGTCCAGGAACCCAGGGTGGAAGGATGGGCCAGATTTTTACATTTAGTTTTTACAACAGGCTGAACCTAACTGCTGTCAAACAGCAGTAGGTCATGTGTTCAGGTTTCACATTTGCTGAAGTAACTGGAGCACCTTCCCAGGACGACAGGACAAACGAGATAGCAGTGTCTGACTTACGCTCCAGGGCCTTGCCACGTCCACGTGATGGTGTCCTGGGGACAAGAAATGAATGGAGGAAACATGACTTGGAGTCAGGCACTAGAAATTCCTGTGAATGCCACATGGGCTCTTTGACCAGGAATCAAACCCAAGACCCTTTGGTGCAGAGGCTGATGCTCTAAACACTGAGCCAAACCAGCCAGGGTGGAACTTAAATATCTTAATTTGAAATTTTCCTAGAGCAGAAACTAGGCAATGAGAGCTGCTGAGGCCCCTGTGTGTGTGTGTGTGTGTGTGTGTGTGTGCGCGCGCGCGCGTTGGGCGGGGTTCAAATGAAAATGTCAGGATTGACCACGTGAGAGGAGGACCACCACTTCCTGACCTATGAAGGCAGGATTCAGTGTGTGAATACTGGGGAATACTCTGGAATACCAGGGCTGATTAGAAAACTGGTGCAAACACCTCACAGTCTCACTCCCAGGCCATTCGCCTCAATACAAATCTGCAGGAGAACACACTCACCAGTTTATTTGGGTACCGCAAAACCACAGGCTGGACAGGAACTCCAGGGATGAAGGCACCTGCAGGAAAAAAGGACAGAGGAACGCTGTCCTACTGCCAGGTAGCAGGTCCTGCGCTTGCATGTCTCACGTTGGCATCAGAATTAAGTGAGATTTCCTGCCGGACCTTCCTGGTCAGCAGCGATCTAGTGCCTGGAAGGTTCCCTCCACATCTGTGTGGGAAATACTCAGAATTCTGGGGCCGCAGCCCTGCTGGCAGGACGCAGACAGGAGCGTCTCCAGGCTGAGCTGCACTTGGTGGGACAACTGGGAGCACCAGTGGGAGCGAGGGTCGCCCCCACTTTCTCAAGGAGAAAAAAAATAATTAAGAAAACTACTTACCAGGTTTGAAGGTAATTAGACAGGTCCTGTTGGTACATGTTCCCTCTGGAAAAATCATTATCTTGAAATAAAAAAAAAAAGAAAAAAGTTCAGCAATAAAGGGACATAATTCAGAGTGCACAGGTACCAATTTTCACAATCTATTTCTCTATTGCTGACATAATTTAGATACTTAAATCATTTTCAGTTGAACAAGTTGAAATGCATTATGGAAGCTTATGCTGATTTCTTCTCTAACTGTGGGATTTATTAAAATCTGGAAGCAACATAAACTGACAAAACACACGCCTTCTTAGACCAGGGACTTGTAGATGGCGAAACGTGGTCCCTGCCTCCCAGCTTCCATGAGGACCGGACACAACTGCACTAAGAGGACTGTTCATGTGAGCAGGTGTCCCACAGGCAGAGCAGGGCAAGGGCACACAGATGATAGCCCTCGGCTAAACGACTCAGGATGGCCCCAAGGGAAGGAGGCGGGTGCTGGCCAGCAAGTGGAAACGCCAACAGAAGCCACAGTTAAGCAACACTCATCCCCACTGGACTTCCAATCGCTGATTTGTGCTGACTTACAGCAATGTAATGTGAACTTTCCCCACTGCTGAAAACTACAGACCATGTGGATACTTTCAATTCTGGGTCCCTGAAGAGAAGGCCATCTCTAGGTGGCACTGAGCCAGCATGGGTACAATCCTGGCATGGCCAACGGTCAGGCAGGTAAGCTGAAGGAGGAGTGGGAACGACCTGTACTTGTAGGGGTGAAAGCCAGGGAACCTCTCCAAGTGGTTACCCAGGGGCACAGGTGCCGAGCGCCAGGCCCTCTAGTGTTTCCTGAGCAGCCAGAACCCAGAGTCCAGTGGGACATCCAGCTTCCCAATGTTGGCTCAGTTGAAAAGAAGAAAAACACAGTGTGGGTCAAATACATCTACAGCTAACTCCAGCTGAGGCCAATACCTCATGGCCTGGGTCAGGAACCAGACATGTGACAGGAAGCTCAGCCCAGGATGCCCAGAAGCAGTGGGCACCTTACAAACGAACACACTACTCAGATACAACACTGTGCTGACCCCAGCAGGGAGGTTAGCAGCCCTTTCCGACTCAGAACTTATAAAAAGATTTGTCGTCAATAAAGATGACTAGGGGAACTTCAGGTGCGGGTCTGAATGGCTTCTCCTTATTTCTTTTAATTTTAAAATTCCAAAACCAAAAGTACCTGATATTTAGCAGATTCTTGGATTTGCATGCTCATCAAAATAAAAAGAAACTAAACACATCCAGCCCCAGGGAAGGCAAGTCCTGGCCCTTTTGTCTCCCCCCCCAAC